ATTTAAGGTGAAGAACGGAAAACTGATGAAGTTGTTTATGTGCTTTGTTTTTATTGTCACCGGAATATTTTCGTTCGAAAATGGAAATCGCTGTCTGCATAAGATGAACGCTAGATTTGGTCACGGATATCACAGCATATTTGAGTAGAACTATTACGCGGTTGCGTTATCTTAGCATCGGATTTAGATCTTGTACATTTAGTTTATTCTGTAGGGCTTCTGTAGTATCGAGCAGCGACACAAATCTTCTTTAAATGACGCTTAAGTTGAAATCGTGTGTGAAATTTCCATCTCTGAATTGAATATTTCGAAAAGCTGTTTGGCAATTGATGCTATAGTCGATCCAATGGTATATAATTACGGTGTGAAAAAGAGTTAACAGTTAGTCTGCAATGTTTCGAACCATTTTGAGTTTTGCTGATTTTACCGAGAAAATTGACGAAACTCAGTCGAACCTACTAATCTCCCAAAAAATATGGTGACTATTGTCTTTTCAGCAAATACAATATTCCATTCAGTCGTACTTTTGAAGAACAAATACAGTATAGCCAATGCAATTTATAATGTAACAATATAAGATTATTTAAAATATAAGTAGGCGTTAAATTGCATACGTTGATTGCATCATTTTCGATTGGTATCTGCAAAATCATGCCGTGTTTTGTATTGACATCTACCACACAATTACCCTTGCATTAATATCTGCACTTAGACGGTTGTCAAAAGGCAAGCTTTTAAACCAGAGCTAGAAAGCCGGTTTTTTAAATCCTTGTGTAATTCCTTTATTGGTAGCAGCTGCATACGTTAGAAAAATCTGCAAGTTAGGCCCAACGGACATATCAGCTGTATTCTCGACTGAAAAAAACACGAACGTGTTTCAAAATCCAAGGGCTAATAAACCACCGTCGACAAACCATCGCAACCTCTTAAAACGTTGTCGATGCTTACAACAAGTGAGAGCTATGTATTTGCACGGCTGCCGCATTCTATAAAACGTACAACAATTGTGAGTCCCTCATTTGCAACTATTTATGACAAAGAGTTTGCGAGGCTTCGCAAATAAATGCAAAATTTCTGGCGAGAATGCTCTCGGGTTATAGCGATTTAATAATAACGTTAAGTGTTTTAGGGTCCACAAATGCGAGTGTTATCGGAAAGCTCATGGGGTGTCAGCAGTTAGCTTTATTAACGTAGACCTGTCATTTATAAGTAGATGCATTTCTGGCTGTATCAAGAGCGCGTGCATACTACTGGGGATGGATAAAATTGCGGAAATCCTATGTTTCAGATTCTCAATTATTAATAATGTCATTACAAAAAATAAATAAAACTAAAATACGTGTTGACACGCACAGTGAACTCACAAACAGTTAGCCTTATTTTGTACTTTCACTTCTTACTTACTCATATACTTTATACTAAAAATGTTTTTTCCTGTCCCCAAAATGGGGTTTACTGTTTACAGTAGTTATGTGTTAATATTTACGAAAAATGTCGACTTACTCATTGTTCCATTTAAAAGCAGACATTTTTTTGTAAATCACAAACATAACGGAGTCAAAGACTTTAATTTATAAATGTCATATTTATGTTTTAAGCAAATACCTGACTATTTACTAAAGTATTAGTTGACGCAATTAGGAAATTGTTACAATCGTAATAAAGGTTTTCTCACATTGTTTAGTAAATTGTTACTGCCTACAAAATACCGGTCGTTCGAGAACCATCACGCATTATATCTGTAGCGTTTTTTGTGATGAGGTAATAAAAGATACATAAAATAGGAGGCTGACACCGTTAAGTAGTAGCCAGGTTAGTGAACAAAAAAAGAGAATTTGACATCAAAATATGTATTTTTACAAAAGGCTTATTTTACACTTTGCTTTTATTTCAACGCATACTTTGCTCTGAACGAAGTCATTTTTATTCCCTTTTGCGCTTAATATGGATATTTTAACTGACAAAACTCCTTCTTTTGCGTCTGTCATTCTGGCCGATGATGGTCAAAGATATTTTTATGGGTGCGTGAGATGGTGGGATATAGTCTTTTCAGCTTTTAGCGCAAAGTAGGCCGTCAACCTAACCACCTGATCTTTAATCGCGATTTGAATTCACAGGATAAGAGCAGTATTTTGACCGCATCCTGAAAAGTCATCTGCGAAGAAAAGGGTCTTTCAAAAAACGAATACAGATTTTTTTCATAGGGAAATGTGCACTGTAAACAGTAACCTTACATCCTTACTGTGTTATCATTTAGGAAATATAGTTTTGCATTTTAATACACTTTTAGTGGAAAAAACCTGGCATATAAGTATGATGATTAATTTTGCAATTTGAAATCTATTGCAGCCAAAGTCCATCCTCCTCAAAGATCTAAGACTAAACGCTACTGAAAATATAACAATGATTAATCAAATGGTCAGCCATATGTTTTGCGTATATCACGCAGGTACAAAGACCAAGAATGAATTGGTTCAGTATGTTTGCTGATGTATTATTAATAAACTTTAATGACTTTTGACACAGAACTTTATTTCAAATTTTGGATTGAGCATGCATGAGTGGCTTAAGCTTATAGTAGTGCATCACTCTGCCAGAAAAAGAAAGGGCCATAGCGCTTATCTTCGTTTCTCCTTCTTATTATAATTCATCGAGTGCATAAGCAAGGCATTGTCTGCAGTCACCAGTAACCTGACCCTCTCATCCGAGTTGGATTCACACTTTCAGATTCATACTTATAACATTGACCATCTGCTTGCAAACTATCCTGATGTCATAGTCAATGTTGCAATTCCGAAACTTATGTTTCATTATGTAGTCATGCAAGCATAAATCACTAAAAAAATCTGTAATCGTTAACATTATTTCTACTTAGTGAATAGTTTAAACTGAAATTAGCAAGCCAGGAAATTAATATCAGTTTATTCGACTATTATAAATTGACCATCTTGTTGAAATCCAACCAAGAAGGCTGAGCATTAGCGGTTGAAGGAACTACTGAAACTTGTTTAGTGTTCGAGAAACATTTACCGCGAAAAGATGGATAAGTTTAGCCACCCACAAATTAATTAAAACAACGTGCAAATGAACGCATGACAGAAAATATGCGTATTATTAATAGATTTTTCTTATGTTCCAGAAGTTTACTTTCTTATTCCCAAACTATTACCCCAAACTTTTCTTTTTCTCTAGATGTGCTGGACATTTGGAATCCTGTTCGCATCCAGTATTCCGAGATTTTCGGTTTGCCATGTCCTACTACAACAGCTACTTCGGGTTTGGTCTGGCCAATGTCGCAGAGGCGGCCTCTGCCTGGCTCACAATGCTTGTCTCCATCGAACGCTACATGGCCATGAAGCATCCCACCATCGCAAATGTTTACTGCAGACACCAGTCGGGCAAAATGCATGTCCGAACAGTGGTGTTGGTTGCCCTGGCCTTCAATTCACCGTTCTTCTTCACCATGCGTCTTTCCCAGCGTGTAGTTTCAACAAACACCAACCTCACCAGCGTCAATCGCACTGTCCTGATAAGCCGGTTGACCAAGTTTGGTGATTCAGTTTACTACGAGATCTACACCTGGATCCGGTTTCTGTGTGTCCAGGTGTTTCCCCTGATCAGCCTC